TAATAGGCCCAGTATTTCTTCCCAACAATTTAAATGGTGGTAAATATTTGCAGTTATTGGCAAACGATTTACAAAAGTATTTGAAAGAAATGAATATTGCAATAAGGTAAAATATATGGTTTCTACAAGATGGCTCTCCACCGTATTACAGTAATGAAGTCCGGGAATAGCTTTGCAAGTAGTATCCTGGTCAGTGGATTGGAAGGGGTCGTGACGCACCTATTTCTTGGCCACCCAGAACTCCAGGTCTTAACCCCATGGACTTTTGCTTTTGGGGTTTATGAAAGACAAAGTGTATTCTGTAACAATAGAGGACGAACATCAGTTGAGGGTTAGAATAATTGAAGCTGCAAATCAATTTCGTCAAAAAAATATAATTTTTCAAAGCATTCAGTTTTCCTTATTAAAAGGATAGCGAATGTGAATTAAAGAAAATGGGGGTCATTTTGAACATTTATTGTAATATCATATTTATAGAGGTTATAATAACAATATATATAAACAATAAAAACCTTTTTTTGAAAAAAGTGATAAGAGGCAAAAAATTTTAAAAAATAATTTTTTTACTTAGGTAAGTTGGATTCAATCAATTTATTTTTGTCCCTGGAATGCATGATTTAATTTATAACATACCTTTTTGAAACACCCTGTATATATATATATATATATATATATATATATATATATATATATATATATATATATATAGCTTTCGTGTAGCTTTTTGTACAGAGCTCTGCTGAATAAAGATTATTAAAAAAATATACGGTATAGTAATAAATTGCGTTGTTCATCTGCCTCATAAACATAACCTTATGTAACCAACTTTTATAGGCAGGCTTAGGAAAAATTAACCTTCTAAAAAGGGAAACAATGTCAACTTGGCGTCATCGTAAAATCGGTTATGCTAACGGAAATAGGTAAACAGTTTAATTAAAGATACATACATTTGACTCAAATCAAAATATTCTCTAATAATGTGATTATACTCGTAAAATAAATTATCTTTATATCCATTCAGCTATTTCATTTTTCTTAAATTATTAAATTTTAATGATAAAGCACACGATAGGTCCTTATCGAAATTGTGCCGTTGTCTGTCCGTCCATATGTACGATAACTATTGAAGAAAATCTCTTGAAATTGAGTCTTCTTCTTCTCATATCTTATGACTTTTCGATATATTGAAGGAAAAGTTCTAGAGCAGTGGTTCTCAACCGGTGTTCCGCGGAACACTAGTGTTCCGCGAATTCCTTCCAAGTGTTCCGCGAATTACTTGCAATCCTACATACCATTTTGCTAAATTACTCTTTTCAAATAAATATTTTCAAATTTTAAAATAGCCACTTACGTACATTTTAATTTAAAAAAATTCTGCATCGTAAATGTTCATTTGCCCAACGTGACAACACCGCGTCGGCACAGTGCACACGTTGGATTTTATAAGCGCTGAGCGCTGAGCTCCGCAGTGGCCACAGCCAATCTGAGTCACCCACGCCACATTCTGCAACTGAATGTTGAATTTGTTACATTGCACAAACGTAATACGTGAAAATCGCTGTGTCAGTTTTTTTATGATAACGTTTACGTACGGCTTATCTATCAAAGGTAAGTAATTGCATATTTTATACAAAATGTGAAGCATTCATCCGCATTATTTTGTTTAAAGACGAATAAATTAAAATGGATAAGTTCCTCAAACTTAAAAGAAAAACTACTGTGGAACAACTCATAATTAATGATGATGAAGCGAGCACCAACGGAGATACTGGAACTTTACGAAGTGGGGTTGATGACAAATCGAAGAAGACTGGGGAAGAAGACTGTCGAATTCCCAAGTGTATTATTTGTGGGCAGACACTCGATAATAGCGCAATGGCTCCGGCTAAATCAAAACGCCATTTTACTACCAAACACGCTAGTGTAACTTCAAAAAATAGAGATCATTTCATGCGACTTTTGGAGACACAAGCTAAACAAGCGAAACAATTTGAAAGGTCGCTAACAATTTCCGACAATGCACAAATAGCTTCATATAAGGTTGCAGAATTAATTGCTTTGAAACAGAAACCATACACTGTTGCAGAATCTCTTATATTACCAGCATGTTGTGAGATGGTCAAAATTATGTTTGGCAACGATGCACAAAACGAAATACGTAAAATTCCTATGTCGGATGATACAATAAGAAGGATTGTTGATTTATCTGCAGATATTGGGGAAAAAGTTACAAATAAACTTTACAAAAAAAACTTCGCATTGCAGGTGGACGAATCCAGTGATATTAGTGGCAAAGCTCATTTATTAGGATTTATTCGATTTGTCGACGAAGGTGAAATAGTCAATCAGTTTTTATGCTGCAGAGAACTTACAACACGTACAACAGGTCAGGATGTATTTGATTCCATAACGTCATATTTAGAGAAAAAAAATATATCATGGGACTTTTGCGTAGGAATTTGTACGGATGGTGCCCCTTCCATGGTAGGCTCCATAAAAGGTTTTTGTACCCTTGCAAAAAAGCGAAATGAAAATATCATATCTACGCACTGTTTCTTGCATAGAGAATCTCTAATTTCAAAAACGCTACCAGCTACTTTGAAATCTGTATTAGACCAAGTGGTTAATGTCGTGAATTACATCAAATCAAGACCACTAAAAACCCGTCTTTTTAGACAACTCTGCATCTCAATGGAATCAAAGTATGAATGTTTGTTGCTGCACACCGAAACTAGATGGTTGTCAAGGGGCAAAGTATTATGTCGAATTTATGAACTTAGAACGAAGCTGTTAACTTTTTTCCAAGAAGAAGGTAATGACACATTTACCACATATTTTGAAAATGATGCACTGAAGTGGCATATTTGGCCGATATTTTTAATTATTTAAATGGCGTAAACTCAAGTATGCAAGGCAAAATGAAAATATTTTAACATCCACGGAGAAGCTGTCAGCTTTCCAGAAAAAATTGTCATTTTGGAAGAAGCGTATTTTAGAGACAAATAAAATGGATATGTTTCCACTGCTTCAGAATGAAGGTGATGAAGATAAAGAACAAGAAATCACGCATATAGTTACAGAACACTTATCACTATTAGAGGAGACAATTGCCAGGTATTTTCCATCTCTGAACGTAGAAAAATATGACTGGATAAGAAGTCCTTTTAGCACAAGTAATACAGCCAATTTCCAGTTTTCTCTGAACCAAGAAGAATTTATTTCGTTGTCATCTGATCGTACTCTGAAAATTAAATTTTCAAAAGTGAATGTTCAGGAATTTTGGATCTTGGGCCAAGAGGAATATCCACTTCTTGCCAAAAAAAGCGATTAGTATTTTAATATAGTTTTCAACGTCCTATTTATGTGAATTTGGGTTCTCATCTTTAACAAACTTAAAAATCAGAAACGGGAAAGGCTTCTAAACTTAGAATAAGAAATAAGAGTAACTCTTTCACACATCAGGCCTGATATTGAGCAAATTTTCAAACGGCACCAGGCACAAGTGTCTCACTAATTTGAAGTATTTACTCATATGATGTATTTTGAGAATTACGCTTTTGTTAATTTTAAAAATGTTTTTTGTTTTCATATTTTAAGTAAAATTTTACAAATTTGAGTACGTATAATAAAGTTTATTACAGAATTTATGTGCTAATCCTAATTTGTTTATCAATATATGCATGCTATTGCTTTGGTGTTCCGCAATTTTTTTCGGTAATTAAAAGTGTTCCGTCGCCACAAAAAGGTTGAGAACCACTGTTCTAGAGTCTTAAAACTAAGTACATTCGTCTTGGAGAAACAACTTTATTGAATATGGTGTCAAGAAGTATGCTTCTCCTACCCTATTGGATTTGGAGCAATAGGGTACCTTCTATTTTCTTTCATATTTTATGATTTTTATGAAACAAAAAAATCTTGAAACTCGATACATAGTTCTTCTTGGTGAAAGAAAGAACTCAAGTCAATTTGAAGCAATGTGTCATCTTGTTTTTGTCACATTCTTATACTTTTTCTCTTTCTTTAAGAATATGTAATAAATAAGCAACGTATGTTCTGGGGCAATCCCTAAATCGCAACGCCTACCCCCCGGCGTAATCAAATCATCACCCGTCAAGTCAAAACATCAGGAGTCCCGTCAAAATATCACGCGTTACGTCAAAAAGGCACGCGTCACATCAAAATGTGATGTTAAGCATTTTTCAACCTGGGGTAGAGGTTGTGATTTAAGAGTTGCGCCAGGAAATACGTTGCTTATCTACTAACGATCATCAGAAAAGATTCTTCTTGATGCAAGGAAGAATACTATTGATTTGTGGTCAATAGTTATTCTACAGAAGTGCAAGATATAATATTACATTTTAAGAGCGGCGGCGCAAAATTTCGGGCCAATGCTTTTTAAATGCATTCTTTTTTTTTCGAATCCTGAAAAAACTAATAAATATTTTTGAAAAATTTAAACGCAGAATAAAAGAATACATTATTACTGAGGGCCTAAAGTTCCTGAAAACTTTTATAATGTTTATTTTAATAAGTTACAGGGGTGAAAAAAAAAAAAGAAAATTTAGTGTGATTTTTAATTTCAAATATCTCATTCAAAAAACTCTTTGTTTATTCTAAGAGAATTTCGACCCTCGGTAATAATGTAATCTTTTATTCTGCGTTTAAATTTTTCAAATTATTTGTTAGTTTTCTCAGGATTCAAAAAAGAATTAATGCATTTAAAAAGCATTGGCCCAAAATTTTGCGCCTGCGCTCTTAATTAGGAATAATAAAGGAAATAAATCCAAATCTAAATTTAATAAAAATGACATAACTATTGTAAATGCTTATAATTTTCTTAATATAAAATATAGTTTCCAGGCCAGTTTATAAAAGTTTTCATTTCTGTCGAGTGCAATATCAATGTTTTATCAATTTTATGGCTTAACGTATTTGGCATCTTACGCACAACCAGCTTTGATTTATAATATACAAATGAATTTTTTTGTAGTTTTTCACAGCGACCTTCATGATTGAGGCAACAATGAAGCTAATTGCGATGAGCCCAAAATATTATTTTCAAGAAGGGTGGAATATTTTTGACTTCATCATCGTAGCCTTATCATTACTCGAGTTAGGCCTTGAAGGCGTTCAAGGCTTATCCGTATTACGATCGTTTCGATTGGTAAGTAATCAAACAATTTTTAATGCAATACCATAAACAACTTGGACCTCATTGGTTCTGTTGAATATTTTAAAATGTCTTTAACTATGTTCTGTCATAATTTTAATATCTAATACATATTTACTTTTTGATCTGAATAATATTAATCTTGCTTAATTTACATTTAATTCCTTCATGTGATAGTTTATCAAAAGTTGTCACGTTGTGATGCAAACTTTCGTTTCTCTAGTGACCTATTTATTATATCCGTTATTCTATGGACTTGGTTTATAGTTAAGTAACTTCCTCGAAAGCCAAATGAGTGTGACAAAATTACACATTAAGGTAATATGAGAGGTTTCAGTTCTTTTCAGAAATAACTTCTAGTATGGCTTCGAAATTACTCGTAGTAAGAAAATCGGCCTATAAGCTTTTCCAGATTTAAGGATCATTACAACCTTCAAATTTTCCATATTTTGGGAATATATCTTAATCTAAACAAGGCTATAATAAGATATATATCAGTTTTACTATGACTTTTTCAGGGAGTTGCTTTAATATTTCCCCAGTAATAAGATTAAAACCCAGGTGCTTTTATAGAATTGATGCTTTCTTTAATTTTGTTGGACACTTCTTTTGGATTGTCTAGTTTAACTACAGCTTTTTCATGTGTGACGTATTACCAGTCAAGTGTGTTATCACCTTCACGTATATGGAATATTTTTTCAAGATGTTGAGCAAATTTACTAGCCTTCTGTAGATTGCTTCATATCCAACTTCCATTTGAATCTCTTAAAACTAAAGGCTGTTGCAAGATCGGCCTTTTTAATATTTTAGTGGCTTTTTAAACAAAATAATTAGTTTTCTTTTCATTTGTTGGTTCAATTAGATAGTTACTGATCCATGTTTATTTTTTCTAAATTCTTTTTAAGATGTTAAGTTATCAGATAGAACTCTCGGGCACTGCTAGATCCTTCTGAGTTTTCTGTTTTCGGTTACCATATTAACCATATAATATGCAACGATAATTGTTTTGCTATTATGTAGAATTTGCATATGCACACTAATACCAAATATTTTTTATTTTAGCTAAGAGTGTTCAAACTGGCCAAGTCATGGCCAACTTTAAATTTACTTATCTCAATAATGGGTAGAACTATGGGTGCTTTAGGTAACCTAACATTTGTGCTGTGCATTATAATATTTATATTTGCTGTTATGGGTATGCAGTTATTTGGAAAAAATTATACAGGTATGTCATGACTACTTTTTCTTGAAAAATGTGTTTAAATGCTGATGTGTTTTTTTTGTTTTTTAGATAATGTAGATAGATTTCCAGACCATGAACTTCCTAGATGGAATTTTACGGATTTTATGCATTCCTTTATGATCGTTTTTCGAGTGTTGTGTGGAGAATGGATTGAATCAATGTGGGATTGTATGTTAGTGGGGGATGTTTCCTGTATTCCGTTTTTCCTAGCCACTGTTGTCATTGGTAATCTTGTGGTAAGTACTCAATATCATTAATGCTTAGATTTTGGTGTTGGAAATAGCACAACCATTGTTAGTCATTATTTTTTTTTTAATTAAAAAGCAATGAAAAAAATTTGAAACCTAGTTTTAAAATTATATGGTGGCGAAGATTTAATTACTGATATCAAGTAGATATTATTTCAATGGACCAATTACATCCAACAATTATTTAATGATAAAAGGTGAGAACTGTCATTGAATTTGAGAAAGAAAATTGCATCGCCAATACTAAGAGAAGAAGTAATATATGCCATCAAAAACTTAAAATACGGTAAAGGTTCTGGACAAGATGATGCGTCCATTGAATTCGTGACGAAAATTTTATGTAGAAATTTTTAAAAAATGTAATGGCAGAACAATTGAATCATATATATATATATATATATATATATATATATATATATATATATATATATATATATATATATATATATATATATATCACACTGCCACAATTTCCACACAATGGCTGCAATCGACCTTTGTATCTCCAAAAAGTCCAGAAAGCTAGTATACGAAATCTGAATAAAGAAATAAAGCAAATATGCAAGGCTGATAAACAACAATACTATCACAATATATGTAAAGATATTGAGAGCAATGATCAAAACAATCAGTCGAGAAATTTATTTAAAGAAATACTCTACATAAAAACAGACTTGGCTGGACATACAGTTAGAACTTGGGTCGTTGAAGACCACACAGGAACCCTGAGAACTAACAGAGAAGATATAGAGGAGAGATAGGGATTATATTGCCGAGATCTCTATAAAGATGATCACTGCCAGGAACTCAGATATGATAACAGCAGAAAAGCTCAAAGCCATAGAATAAACCGGGATAAAATTGCTCTACTTGCTCTGTAACAAAATATGGCATTCCAAAAAATGGTCTGACGACTGGACAAAGTCTACAGTAACGGCAATAGATAAAAAAGGCAGCTTCCAAAAAAGGCGAAAATCATAAAACCATTTCTCTAAGTCACATACCAGCAACATAATGCTACATATAATCAATGAGAGACTAAAAACTTTCCTACAAAGAGAAATATTTTAAGAGCAAACTGGATTTACCAAAGGTAGAAGACCTCTTATGGAGAGAAAGAGAGTCAGACCCAGAGCACGATTTAAGAATCAGGTGGAGGAAGACTTGAGAATGTTGGGAGTACGAAACTGGAAAGCCAAAGAATAGGAGAGAATGGAGACTTATCCTTGAGCAGACCAAGGCCCACCATGAGTTGTGGAGCCAATAATGATGATGAGAAGACCTGTGAAAATACCTTCCGAATATAACAAATAGTACAAAAATCTAGGGAATTCAATATTCCGCCATAGATTTTTTTTATAGATTATCGCAAAAAGTTCGACAGTCAAATAACAGTTATGGCAGATACTATAAGAAGTGGCGTACCACAACATACGTGATACGGAACAAACGATGAATACAGAGCATTATCAAAAGAAATCAGAGAACAGTGCCGCAAAGACAAAGCTGATTACATCTCTCAAATATGCAAAGAGATAAAGGAACATGGCTATCGAAATGAACCGAGGGTTTATTTCAGAAGATCATCCTTACCAGAGAATTTATATCTCAAACGTGGTCTGTAATAGATAAGGAGGGTAATCTAAAGACCGATACTGACGTATATTGGAAACAAGGCGAAACTACTGTGGCGAGCTACCAGCAGAAAATCAGTAGCCCTCTGACTACCCTAGAGAACCTACTGTCTTACTCGCTGAAAGATGCAACTAAATCGCTAAAGTAAATAAAAAGAAATAAAATAAGACATTGATTTAATACCAGGTGAAATACTACAGTTAGTACTACTAGGTAACAAAAGATTACGTATCATCCATTCTATCTGTGTCGCTGTTTGGAATTCAGGAAAATGGCCATCTGATTGGTGTACACCAATTTATATCTCGCTCCACAAAAAAATAACTACTACCAGATGTGAAAACTACCATGAAAAACTATCATCAAAAACAGATTAAAAACCTATTTACATTACCAAATACCTCAGGAACAAGCGAGGTTTGTAAAGGATAAAAGTACACGACAACAAATCCTGAACTGAGACAACTCATTGAAAAGTCTAGAGAATTTCAAGTACACATTGACTACGAAAGACATTTGATTATGTAAACTGGATAAATCTGTGGTCCATTTTAATAGATATGGGCCCACCAATGCACCTGGTGACACTTATTAAAAATCTGTACCAGTCCAATATAGTAACAGTATGACTAGAATATAAGTTCTCAAACCAATTCAAGACCGAGAGAGGTGTTACACAAGGATGCGTGTTGTTACCTGACTTACTCAACATTTATGGTGAACATGTCATGAAGATGGCTTTAGATGGATTTGCCGGTGGAGTAACAGTGGCTGGTAGAAAAATCGCCAATTTAAGATTTGTTGATGACACTACACTTAAAACAGCAAATGAGCAAGAAATGTTTAATCTCCTGCAAAGAGTTGAGTACGAAAGCAATAAATTTGGTCTGAAAATCAATAAAGCTAAGATAAAATGGTGGTCGACAGATTTCACACTATTCAACTAACTAACATGTTACAGGAATAACAGATAGTCGACAGTCTTGTTTATCTCGGATCTAGTATAACTAACTATGGTAAATATGATGCAGAATTTCGAAGACGTAATGGTATGGCAAAAAATGGTCGCCTAACTGAAGTTTGGAAAGAAATCTATCTCTCAAAATATTAAGATGGGACTGGTGAATGCCTTTGTATTCTAAATATTTCTATACGGGGCAGAGACTTGGACTCTTTGCGGACGCGAGCGCCAAAAAATGGATACCTTTGAGATGTGGTGCTGGAGAAGAATGCTTCACATACCTTGGATAGCTCATAGGACAAGCGTTTCCATTTTAAACCAACTCGAGATTAAAAAAACCTTTCCACACAGAGGTTCGCAAAGGTGACGATAGTTTGGAGCGATTAATTGTTTCTCGGAAACGTTCCGGGAAGAAAATCAAGAGGATGATCATCAACTAGATGGTCCGACCAAATTAAGAATTCAGCTGGAAACTCATTCTGTGAAGATCTCAGAGCAGCTAAAGATAGAGACCGATTGAGAAAAATTGTTAGAAATATTGGACGAAATCGCTATCCTCAGTAATGGGGAATGGAAAAAGAGAAAGACAGTACCACAACACTTAATATATTTAAATATACGAACTCACTAGTGGAATAGTTAAAATGCTTGACGCACTCTCAAATAAATTTCATCCAGATTAAGGTATCAGACAAGGATGTATTCTCTCTCCACAATTATTTGGCGAATGTGGCGAATTAAAGGCGAATGGCGATTTCATGAAATCTAAAAATGAAATTTATAAACTGCTTAATATTCCCAATACTGACATACAGATGTGAATCTTGGACGCTACAATAAGCGAACAAAAGTTAGATGCCACTGAAATATTCTGTTGGGGAAGAATGTTACGACTAACGAGAATGACAATGTCTAACTTAGAAGCCACTGTTAGAATACAGTGAGAGTTAGAATACATTGACATAGAAGGGCGTAGCAAGCGCGATGTTGAGCAATATCTCCTAGAATTGGAAACAGCGGCGAAACAGGTCGGTCTAGTCATCAACGAAGACAAAACCAAGTACATGTTGGTTACAAAGGATCCGATAGCAAATGAGGAACGAGAAACAGTTTTTGGAAGTCATACCTTTGGACTTGTTGACAACTTCACATACCTTGGGTCGCTATTGACTGCTACCAATAAAACAAGTGAAGAAATCAAAAGACGAATAAATCTTACAAATAGAGCATACTATGGACTCCAAAAGCATTTTCACTCAAGAAACATTCAAAGAAGAACTAAAATTCTTATATGCAAAACATTGCTGAGGCCGGTCCTCACATATGGAGCAGAAATATGGACTCTAACGCAGAAAGATAAAAGACTTTTGGGAATATTTGAGCGTAAAATACTCCGCAAAATATTTGGAGCTGTAAACGACCAAGGGCAGTGGCGCAGAAGATATAATTTTGAATTGTATCAGCTCTTTGATGAGCCAGATATCGTAACGTTCATTAAAACACAGCGACTTAGATGGGCTGGACACATAATACGAATGCCAGAAAATACGATTGCTAAAAATCTAACCGCAGTAACACCTGTAGGAAAAATAAGCAAAGGCCGACCGCGAATTAGGTGGTTAGATGGAGTGGAAACCGACTTACGAATATTAAAAATCAGAAGATGGCAACATGTTGCCAAAAACCGAACAGAATGGCGACGAATCTTAGAGCAGGCCAAGATCCACAGAGGATTGTCGAGCCAAAGATTATGATGAAGAATGTTACGAATTCCGTGGACCGATAACAGGACAAATAATTTAATTTTAAATGAACTAAAGGTTAGCAAACGGCTCTCCAGCAATTAAAAACAATTAAAATACTTTGGACATTTTATGAGAGTAAAGACAGAAAACATAGATATAATTATTAAAAAAGAAAATGTAGAAGGCCGAAGATCACGAGGAAAATTTCCAATAAGGTGGATTGATCAAATTACAAGAATATGCAAAAGACTTATGCATTACTTAAAAGAAAAGAGCAGAGACAAAGATCTGTAGATACGAACAATACACGATGCCCACTACACTCCCTCCGGGAGTCAGGACTGAAGAAAGAGATACAGTAGAGGTTTGGACACTTTCTGAACCTTCTTTAGGAAAGCTCTTGGCCATGTCATGAAAAATCAACAGAGACATGGCTTGTTGCAACTTGTTCTTCGCTTTTTTCTATTACGCTGATCAATAGGGTTAACTCGGTATGGGTGCAAGGACACACAAGCGTGAAGGAAACGAATGGGTTAACGCCCTGGCAAGACAAGACTCATCCACTCTGCCTGTGGGACTCGAACCCTTGATTGGAGTGCCCTTCAGTACTATACCATCTTCTCCTTCTAGACAGTAGAAAATACTCTCTGATGGTCACTGCTCGCTGTAGATTCATGCACCTTCATTTTCTCGGATTTTCGGATGGCCCAGGATGCCATCTTTGTAATGAAAAGGAGAAAACCTCCTCACATGTCCTCTGAAAGTACCCGACACTGGCCTATTAGGGGTTGCAGATCCTGTGATCTGCATTTATCCAACTAAGCTAAATGAGGGAGTTGCCCTCAAATAGTTTTGTGGCTTTCTGTGAGATTACAGGTTATTAAAGGGTCAGACGCTTGGAACGGCAGGAAGAACTCAAATTTTACAGCTTCTGCTGATTGTAGTCGATATAGGAGCCTGGGCAGCCTGGGCCTCAGAATCGTCGAAGCTAGGTCCTTATGGGCCTTGTCCGTATAATAGAGGTGATACAATACGATTGACCCATCTTAGGAGGTCTAAGTGTCTGAAGGCCTCACAAATGGGCCCTGTCGGGCATTCCGAATAGTTGCAAAGTTTGAGTAGCCATTGTGATTGCCAACATCCGGAATGGATAAGAATAAGATGGATAAAAGAGACGAATTGTTCGGTTGAATATACTGTTTTAGAGATGAATGAACAAGAATTAGAGTATGGACATATAATAGGAATTTTTTATAGACTTTAAAAAGACATTTGGTAAGGTTCAACATAAAAGCTTGTACATTATATTGAAAAGTAAAAAAAAAGTATTGAGAGTCGTAATATAAAAATTCTCATATATATTAGAAATGTCAAAGTAAGAGTTTGCAACCAAAATACGCTAGATATCAAAATACAGAGAAGAGTCCAGCATAACTTACTTTTTGCAGGCGATACAGTAATAAAGAAGAATAACAACAATAAATGATACAACTTAATGTAATGCCTTAATGTAGGCTATCATGAATACGAGCTTACGTTTAATTTGAAGAGAGCTAAGTGCATGGTGATAAATCACCAGTTACAAATATCCAGCTGACCACTAAAAACATTATAATGGGGAGCGCGGATACCTACAAATACTTGGAAACATGGATACGATCAAATATAGACCAAACTAAAGAAATAAATACACATATTGACGTAGTACATATAAATAAATTGCTGCCTTTGAATATTGTTGTTACAAAAACCATACGAAATACCTAAATTCAAAGAAAGTCAAACATAAAAATTACCAAAAAGCGTTTGATCGTGTCCAACACCACAAGTTAATGCAGATTCTCAAGAAAGTTGATATAGACCAAAAAAACATAAGATGCATTTAAAACTTGTACTGGCATCAAACGGCACAGTTAAAAATAGACAATTCTATATCCAAACCTATACATATAAGAAGAGGCGTTCGACAGGGATGTGTGCTTTCCCCTCTTTTATTTAACATTTATTCGGAAGCCATATTTCAAGAGTCTTTGGAGGATGCAGAGATGGGAATCAAGATGAATGGAGTATTGATCAACAACATACGATATGCTGATGATGGTGTCTTAATTTGTGACAACATAGTCGATCTTCAACAACTTGTCACTATAATCGGAGAATACAGTAAGCGAATGGGATTAGAGATTAATACCAAAAAGACCAAATTCATGATCATCTCCAGAAACTTGGATGCACTTGAAAACTCCACCATAACACTGAATACTAAATCCATTGAAAGAGTGAGTAAATTTAAATACCTGGGATTGTGGCTTTTTGAAGACTGGGCATCGGACAGGGAAGTAAAATGTCGCATTGAGCAAGCTCGACAAGCTTTCGTAAAATTCAAGAAGGTACTGACTTGTTCAGAGTTCGATCTTCAACTGAGACTAAGGTTTACTAAGTGCTACATATTGTCAGTGCTGCTATATGGCGTAGAGGGCTGGACACTCAAAACGAGGGATATAAACAGATTAGAAGCTTTCGAAATGTGGCTTTATCGCCGTATCCTAAAAATACCATGAACAGCGAAAATCACAAATATAGATGTCCTTAAAAGAATAAACCAAGAACGCCAACTTTTCGAAACCATCAAGAAAAGGAAAACGGCGTATCTAGGTCACGTCATGCGAAATGAAAAATACCAGTTCCTCCAACTTATAATCGAGGATAAAATTGAAGGCAAGAGAGGAATGGGACGCAAGAAAATGTCCTGGCTCCGAAACATAAGGCAATGGACAGGGATTAACGACATACAATCTCTGATACATATTGCAAGAAATAGAGAATTAATGGAAAATGTGATCGCTAATATCCATTAGTGGATTTGCATCTGAAGAAGAAGAAAATTAGCTAGAATGGTAGCAAATAAACCTGAAATAATATTTACTATGAAAAAACGAAAACCTAAGTACTTAGGAGATGGAATGAGAGGGCAAGAATACTCATTGTTACAACTCATTATACAAGGCAAAATTCGAGGACAGCAAAGTGTGGGAAGACAAAGGATATCTGGGTTTAAAATCCTGAAATAATGGTTTGAATGCAGTAGCGCAGACATATTTAGAACGGGAGCCAACAAGATCCGAATAGTCATGCTGATTCCAACCTTCGATAGAACATGGAACTATCTTGAAGAAGAATAGAAGAGACAGATTTGGAGTAGATCACTTACTCGCAAAATTTAACGCCACCTTAACAAATGTTAACAATATTTTGGTACGAAAACGAGGAAATTTATCAATAAAAGCTTCTGCTTCTTACAGTTCCATCTCCCTATGGAGGTTGGCAATCATAACGGCTATTTTTATTTTTGAAGTTACTGCTTTAAACAAATCATTTCATCAGCATTGATCCCAATTACGTAGATTCTTTAACCAAGAATTCTTCCTTCGGCCTACAGATCTTTTTCCTTGAATCTATCCCTGTATCCTCAGTTTCAAAATTTAAACCATGTGGCCTAATAGATAGTCCAATTTTCTGGTTTGTAGAGTGATGATTAAAAACAAAACTAATCACCACTATACAAACAAATGCTGGAAACCTATAATAACGCATGATATTTTATTTTTAACGTTTGTAGTATGTTTATATCAGTTATTAAATAAATAATTTTTATATTCGCTACTGTATTTTTGGGTATTATAAATAAAAATGTTTGTAATTTTTCAGGTGCTGAATCTTTTCTTAGCTTTGCTTTTGAGCAATTTTGGTTCATCAAGTTTATCAGCCCCAACAGCTGACAATGACACAAACAAAATAGCTGAAGCATTTGTTAGAATCGGTCGTTTTAGCAGATGGATCAAGGCTGGTGTGGCAGATATCGCTAAGTTGATTAGATTTAAATTAACAAACCAAATATCCGACCAGCCGTCAGGTGAGGGACCCTCCAACAGTTGGAACCAAGGTTTTTATCCAACAAATCTGAATAGCTCGCTAACTTTGTGCTTGTTGCCACTCCGTAGTGCTTATACTTCCTAATATTTTTCGAGGAGTATACTTGTATCGCATGTAGTATATAGTACACTTCTTGCAGTGTATATTTGAACCACAGTGGACTATTTTTTAACAATATAACTCTTTCTTCATGTGCAAATTTCTATAACAGCGTTTCTAACATTCAGTTGTTTTTACTACAATTAACACGATGCTCTCCTTTCTATTTTAATTAATTAATACATAATGTAATTAGTTCAAATAAATTCTTCTCTTTCATTAGCGATATTGAGTAGTTTAGTTCTTATGCCGTTTGAATAAGCCGTATTTTATAATAAGAGTCAAATGTTAAGGACTAACCACGAATCTGAATATTGGAAATTCGACTGGTAATGACCAGTCGAAGCAAGCAAAATTAATAACATATCTCTGATATTACTATATCAAGTCGATCAGTCTCTAATATCCGTAGTCACTAGTTGTTGGATAAAATTTCAAGCTTATTTTTATTGAATCGTGAACTAATAAGTATTATTCAACTATATCATTAGGAAAGAACCAGTATTGTGTGTTTTAGTGGCATTGTAAAAATATAACATTGATTAAAATGGTTAAAATAGGCAAAAATATTAATGGTTAGGTGAAGAGATCCATAAGATCTAAGTACACTTGTAGTTTAAATTCAGGAAACATGTGAACAAATAAGGATATTTTTTAATTTAACTTTGGATACTAACGTAAGTTCTTCTTCTTCCTGTTCTTCTTCTTCTTCTTCTTTTTATGTAGACATGACTCTGTCTGTTTTTCAATGTGGCTCCAGTAAGTTGTTGTTCCATCGTTTTCTACTCTTATATTTCTTACCCAGTTCTTAATGTTCTCCACCTTGCATCTACAGCGTATATCTGTAGTTCTAACCCTGTTCTATAGTGTCTTACCATCAATGTTTCTAAGTATTTTCAATATTAATCTGATGACTATTTTGTACATTCTGCCTTTCATTTCTTTAACGATATTTTTATTTCTCCATATTGTTTCATTCAGGCAACCTGCGGCTCTGTTTGCTCTATTCACTTGATATTCCACCTCAGTTTCGAGTTTTCCGTAGCTAGATAACGTGATGCCTAGATATTGATATTTAAACTTGATCACTCGTTCTCTTATCTGACCTTTCAGTTCCAATGTACATCGTACTGTACAGTAAATTTACTGTACACTTTGAGAGAGTAGTACTGCGTCGTCTGCATAGCAGATTATTTTAAGTTGTTTTTCTCCCATTTGATATCCTTTTTTTTAGTTCTTATTTTTTTATTATTTCATCCATAATCAGGTTAAACAATAGAGGACTCAGGGAATCTCCCTGTCTTCTGTATCTGTAGAGTAGGGAGGGCGAGTTAGGTTTCACAGCAGTCATGCCACAATTGACCCATTGTGCATCTTCCCAGGGAGCTGTCACCCTTAGCTCATTGTCCATTATGTCATTTCTAGGAAGGTGGACAAGTCACCAGGAGACATCTCACTTATGTGGGCAGGTGTGGGCCAGGACTCGCCGAACGATAACTCGATAACGATAACTCTGGGAATTCACATAGGACATGCTCCACAGTTTCGTCGTCTCGTTCACACTTCCTACATAGAGGTGTGTCTACTAGCCCCAGTGTGTGGAGGTGTTTGCTTAGTTGACAATGACCAGTTAAAAAACCAACTGCCAAACGTAGATTTTTCCTGGTCATTCGCAAGTACTTCTTTGATGTTGATTTTTCAAGGTTACTTAGTGTTATACTGGCAAGTTTACATCCTTTCCCTTCTTTCCATCTTTTTACGGTTTGCGTATGGGAGTGACATTTGACAATTTCCGCGATTGTTGTAGTTGACCAACCAAAAAGATCCCCAGGTCCTAAGAGTCTTAGGCCTGCCGCCTTCCTAGATAATTGGTCAGCAATGCGGTTTCCTTTATTCCTATTGTGTCCTTTAACCCACTTCAGGATGATGTTATTACCATCCGAAGCTTGAGTTAGTGACTCGTGACACTTCATTACTAAACCTGATATGACACGTGGTCTATTCAAGGTTAGTAGCGCTTGTCTGCTATCTGTGCAGATCATTATAGTTTTCCCTGCTATACCTCTTTGGGTTATCTCTTTTGCGGCTATGGAGATACCAGTCAGTTCTGTCTGAACTACACTGGCATTTTTGCCCATACCCCACATTATTCTTAGGTTCAGTGATCTGGAGTATATTCCGCATCCTGAGCCTCCTTTTATTTTGGAGCCATCGGTGTATATGCAATAGGCATTTGCCACGTTTGTCTCCATGCACTATCTTGTTTCAACTTTGTAGGGTTTGTTAAAGACGAACTTTGGTTCAATTGAGTCGCAGCCTGCCTGTAGTACTGGTAACGCATCCAGCTCTCCCCGCCAGAAACGAGTTCTCAATTGTCCAATTCCTACATCAAGGTTTGTACCAGCTGAGCGCAGTCGCATCATTGTCACTAGAGCCACCTCTTTGACATATATATCTAGAGGCGTGATGCCAATGATCAACTCCATTGCAGCAGTTGGTGTTGTTTTCATGGCACCTGTTATATTTATGCAAGCCATCCGCTGAATATGGTTTAGTTTGTTAATCGCTGTTGCCTTAGCACTTTTGGTAACCAAGCAATAGCTCCGTATGTTAGCATTGGCCCAATGATAGCGGTGTAGACCCAGGCGATCACCTTGGACGTGAGGCCCCAGGTGGGTCCAACCGTTCGTCGACACTGTTCATAGGCAATATATGCTCTTTTAACTCTACCATCTATGTGTGAGTTCCATGTTAACTTCCTGTCAAGGGTAATATCAAGGTACTTCACCTCGTCAGAAAAATTTAGACTGTAGTTTAGAATCCTTGGGGGTATTAACCGTGATTCTTCTTTTTCTGGTAAAGAGGACCATCTCTGTTTTCTTAGGATTTATAGATAGTGAGTGTTCCTTGCACCATGTTTCTATTAGTCGAAGAGCAACTTGCGATCTCTCACATGGTGTGTTCTCAAACTTACCGCTTTGCAGGACAGCAATATCGTCTGCATAGGCTATTGTGTAGAAACCGTTGCTGTTGAGTTGGTCAACCAGGGTGTCTAGAACTATGTTCCATAGTAGTGGTGATAGCACCCCTCCCTGTGGACATCTCCTCGTAACCATGCCATACTAAATATCCATTTGCTTATGGCCAGGGGAACATTTCTAACGTTGAGCTGTTGGGTGATAGTTGGGAATGTGGTTTTATCAAACGCTCCCTCAATGTCTATGAATATACCTAGGGTGGATTCTTTATTATCCAGCGATATTTCAATTCTTCCCACTACATAATGCAGTGCAGAATCGGTAGATCTTCCCGAAGTATATGCATGTTGATTTGGGTGAAGTGGGTTATGAACCAGAACTTCATCCCTTATGTACCTCTCGCATAGCCTCTCCATCGTTTTCAACAGAAAGGATGTTAGGCTAATTGGTCGGAAGGCCTTTGGTAGGGTGAAGTCCATCCTACCTGGTTTTGGTATGAAGACCACACGTACCTCTCTCCACTTCCTAGGAATATATCTCTGAAGAGGCTCTGAATATTTCTAGGAGGTGCGGCAGAAGGATATCCAGTCCCCACCGTAGTAGGGATGGTTATATGCCGTCAGGCTCTGGTGATTTGAAAGGGGTGAAGCACGATATGGCCCATTTTACCTTTTCCTCATTAATCATTGTTCTGGCGAGATGCCAGTCGTTTGTTGAGGGTATGATTGTTTCTTCCATCCGGTTTGGTGCTGTTGAGACACTAGAACCGAAAAAGTGTGTTTTTATCAGGACCACAGCACTTTCGCGAAGGTTGGAAGTTTTGTTAAAATCTTCCTTCGTTAGTATGCCAACATGCCGATGTGGGTCCTTTGAGAGCGCTTTTTGTAGCCTGGAAGCCTGCGGGAAATCTTCGATTTCCTCACAGAAGGTTCTCCAAGCAGCTCTTTGTCATTGTCTGCAGACTTTTTTAAACTCTCTGAGATTTGATTGATAAGAATCCCAATCCTCTTTGAGTTTGGTGCATTTCACTCTATTAAAAGCTGTTCTTGCTATCTTTCTAAGGTGTTCCAATTCAGTACACCACCAAGAGTTGGTTTTGCGACTTTCCTGGACCATCCTTATTGGACAGGATTTTTTTATAAGCATAGCTTATTGTCTTTTGGATATATACCGTATACCTTTCCAATTCTATATTAGTTCCTGGAGTTGAAGCCTTTTCATTCCGCAGAACATCTTCTAAGAGTCGGTTGTAGAGTTCTACATCCGTCCTCCTAGGGTCGCGCGATTTGATAAGGCTTTTTTCCAGACTAATATTATAGGTTAGCCAGCGGTGGTCAGACATAGAAATATTGCAGTTAGATTTGTTTAGCTGTACATAGCCGTGACCGACTACTTTACGTGTCCTCCAGAGTACGTTTTGGAACATACAAACATAATACTGACACTCTGTCTACTGTTGTTCAAATAAACACTGAATTGAGTGACCAGATATTTTTCAACTTATTTAATATGATAAGTTGGAGGCTTTTCACATATTTTTAAAGTCATAGAATAGTACCTAGTCATTAGAAAGAGAAAGGTTATTAAAATATATTCATACATTTTTATTTGTTTGGTGTTGCTACTTTTCAGTTGGCATTACGTGAATAGACTTCGTCGTAATGCTATTTTAAATATCATTTAACTTTGTCCCCGCATGTTGTCTTTCAACATCCAAATAGATGTTAGAGTTAGAAAGTTATATGAGGCTATTGTATTCCAACTGTTTAATTTTTTAATGATTATTATAACATAGATATTATACAAACTACAAAACAAAAACAAAATAAGTATAACATATTTTTGTTTATACTGCCAAAAGTTTGCTATGATGTCTATGGGTACTTTACAGAGAGATTACAAACCTCGATATTTTAGATCCACGTGACGGAGGCCTAGACATTCCAGGTGACGAAATACTTGCAGACGGCACGATATTTAAAGATAAGAAAAGTCCAAAAGATAGGTTAGAAGTAACGATAGGTGATGGTATGGAGTTCACGATACATGGTGACTCAAAAACTAATATAAAGCGGGCCAAAAACGCTATTAGTAAAAAGACTTTAGGAAATTCAATTTTGGAACATGGGGATTTTCTAGGACATTTAGACGATGACGAAATTAGCAACAAATCGTATGGTAGTCATAAACATAGGTTCAAAGATGAAAGTCATAAAGGTAGTGCTGATGTATTGGACGACCAAGAAGAAAAGAGAGATGCTAGTAAAGAAGAATTAGGAATAGATGAAGGTAACAATATAAATCCCCTAAATCCATATCATAAAATATTTTTTCCATCTTCTTCTTCTTAGGTTGTACACTTAGGCGTCTTTAGGTATCGCAGTTAAGATTTCCTGTCCTTAATAAAGAATTTTGCTTTTACTGCTATTAGTTTACTTATCAATTTTTCTTACTAAACCGGATATTTATTGACATTCATACTATTTTTCATAATTAATGACATTGCTCTTTGCTTTTAGCTTAATTTCTATTGTTTCCACCAATACATTATATATCTTATTGATCTTTTTGTTACACTCAGGTGCAATATATTCGATATACGACATATGTCCAATTTATTGCGAGTTTTAAAACTTAGGACTTGTTATATGGCATATATAAATTTATAGAAACCGTCGTATAAGTACAATTGGGGGACTGGGAGGAAAAGCGGTACAAGTTGCATTTAGATCGTTTTAAGAAAATTAGAGTTAAAGTGTAAAATGGCACAAAAACTCCAAATAAAATTTTAAAATCTAATCAAGTTATTATTATTATTAAGATCTTAATGTGTTTATGTGAAATTTTTACAATCGTATACATTTCATATTTTGAAGTTTTTTACAAAATGCACAAATGCACAAGTAAATATTACTTCCAGTAAATGAATAAATAATCCTCCTCCTCAGTCCTAATCCCTTTTGGGATGTGATCAACATCAATCAGGCCTTTACAGTTTTTTCACGATTTCCCTCCATCCAGTTGTATGTGTATTGTTATCCTAGAATTTTTCCAAATAATTACCAGTTTCATTATAGCTGTTCTAGCAATAGCCAACCTTCTACGTATCTCTCCGTCACACCCTCCGTCATTTGTTATTAGGAACCCCAGCTATATGAAACTACTTACTACTTCAAAGCCCCCAATTTTTTTAATGTGTTGAAGATTATTTCGAGATTTGTCTACTATCATGATCTTTGTCTTACTCCTATTTAGCTTTAGTCCATATGTTTTGCTTTTCTCCTCCAGACATCTTATTATGTCTTCCATTTCTTCTTGATTTGCAGCGATTATTAAAGTGTCATCAGCATATCTCCAAGTTAATGATTTTTTGACCTCCTACTGATATTCCACCCTTCCATCCGTCTAGTACCTTTCGCATAATGTGTTCGCTGTAGATATTAAACAGAATTGGCGAGATTATGCATCCCTGCCTGACACCTGCCTCTGTTCTGAAATGATTGGAACGGGTGTTTTTTATTTTTACTGTGCACTTATTATTTTCATATAGACTTCTAATTAGTTGAATTAAATGGTGGAGTATTCCCATTTCTGCAAATATTGACCATAGTTGCTGCCATTTGACTTTATAGAAGGCCTTTGTGTAATCCACAAAGCACATAAGCATAGGAGTATTGAATTCACAAGTTTTTTCGATTAGCTGTCTGACATTAAGGATGGGATTTCTTGTGTCTTTTCCTGGGACAAATTCCGCTTGTTCTTCTGATATCTGAGGCAATAGAAAATCTTTTAGTCTTTCATGTATTACATGAAGTAGAACCTTGCTTGCATGGAATATTAGGGTTACCGTTCTGTAGTTGCTGCAATCTAGCAGAGTTCCTTTTTTGAATATAGGGGTGAAAGTAGATGTTGTCCAGTCGTTGGGCCACTCTCCGGTTTCCCAAATCTTTTTGCAGATCATATGCATAACGTTTACTCCAACATCTATAGTCGCTTTTAAAACTTCTGCGGTGATCTGGTCTGCGCCAGGGGATTTTCTATTTTTTAACTTTTTGGTTGTTTTTTCTATATCTGACTTTAGAGTGTTTGGTTCTCGCTCTGCAGTGAACTCGTCGTAATTTGCATTCTAGGAATCATCTGCATATACACTTTGACAATATTTTCTCCATACCTCCGCAATCCCTTTCTCGTCATTTTTTATTTATTTTAAGTATCTGGTTTATCATTTTCATATCAGAACAGAGTGATCTGCATATCTAAGACTATTTATGTACTTTTCTTTGCTTTTGACAACTTTTTTTGACTTAATGTATCTTTAACGATAGTCTATTCCAGTTATGTGTAAAAAATTTCTTTTGGTTTTTCTCCGAATTAACTGTCATGAAAATAAGAATATCGTGTAATATCGCTCCCTATCAATACGATTATTGTAGTGGGTAGTTAAACAAGATTTAGTGGTATATTTTATATATGTGATCCATTGTGCTCCGAATAATCACATAACTATGTTAAAATCATTTTTTTTGCAGAATTAGAAGATGAATGCGACTGTCAAGGGCCTTTAGATGAAGATCTTATCATAGATGCTGCAACAGAAGACATAATTATTGATGAGTACTCTGCAGACTGTTTCCCAGAAAAGTGTTACAAAAAGTTTCCGTTTCTGGCTGGTGACGAAGATTCTCCCTTCTGGCAGGGATGGGGCAACCTTCGCTACAAAACTTTCCAACTAATAGAAAATAAGTACTTTGAAACAGCTGTTATCACCATGATCTTGCTCAGTAGTTTGGCTCTAGCTTTGGAGGACGTCCATCTGTCAGCACGGCCCATTTTGCAAGATATACTGTATTATATGGATAGAATTTTTACGGTCATATTCTTTTTTGAGATGTTGATCAAGTGGTTGGCTATGGGTTTTCAGAAGTATTTCACCAACGCGTGGTGCTGGTTAGACTTTCTTATAGTAATGGTATCTCTTATAAACTTTGTGGCTTCTTTGGCTGGAGCAGGTGGTATTCAAGCTTTCAAAACCATGAGAACGTTGAGAGCTCTTAGGCCTCTGCGTGCAATGTCACGTATGCAGGGCATGAGGGTAAGTCAAATATTCACTTTACTAATAATGCAATGATTTCAGAAAATTCAAATTTTTGGTCTACAGGACTTTCTTAGTTTACGACAGAATTATGGCAGATCTTATTGATTTTGATCCAATAAATAAGTTGTAAACACCCTATGTTTAACGAATACAATTGAAACAAATCACTCTTTGAGGGAAATCAATATTATCTGTTTCTCTTTTTAATCTGTTTTATTTATGCACTATTTTGTATTATGATGTAGCTCCCTTAAAGATATACTTTGTTATCTCGCTCACTACATAGTAATTATCTCATTGGTATATTACCTAATCTTGGTACAAATGAAAGTTTTTAACACTTTGACTGCGCACTTTGCGGAAGAGTATTTTTGTAAAAATGGTTATGTATTTATTGTTAGAAGGACAGTGTTAATATTTAAAATGATATATACAGGGTCTTAACACATTTTTGACTTGTGACTTATATGTGCGCACCATGCGCATATGCACCCTGGTAAGATTTTCTTGATATGTGCTGACTGGCGTTCCAATATGTGAGTCCACTAATTTGGTTTCTATTTTTGTCAACCAATAAATAAAAATCAACTGAAATAAGGATATCTACATATTGCACAAAAAACATTACAGTTTTCTAGTGAAAATAGTTTAAAAATATTTTTTATAATTCAAAAAACTAAAAATTCATAACTTCAAACAAATTAAATTATAACAATTTGATTACAAAAAAATAAAAAAATAAAAAAACTTGACTCTAAGCATGAAAATGAATAAAGCACTTGCCAATACAAAATCCAAGTACTACAGAAATTTTAGTAATAATATGTGGTACTTTGATGTTTGTAATCATTTTATTTTGTTAATTTGGTAAAAGCGAGATAAGAGTCGATCAAAAATCTAAATTTGGAGATCAGACTACGTACCATTCGCTGTTATATATTTTCAATATCATTATATATGGAGCTGAGACTTGGAAATTAAAAAAAAATGTAATTTAAAAAAAATCGAGGCTTTCGAACTCTGGTTATACCGCAGAGTATTAAAAATATCATGGACTGATAGAATTACAAATAAAGAAGTACTGGAGAGAGTTGGTAAAGAAACCGAACTAATCACTACTACACAAACCAGAAAACTGAAATACCTAGGCCACGTGATGATGGGACCAAAATATGAAATTTTTAGACTCATAATACAGGGAAAGATTCAAGGAAAAAGATCTGTTGGCCGAAGGCAGAACTCATCGTTGAAGAATCTACATGATTGGTATCAATGCAGATCGATTTATTTATTTTTTTTTGAGCAGCAAGTTCAAAAATAAAAATACCCAGTATGATTGCCAACCTCCGTAGGAAGACAGCACTCTAAGAAGAAGAATTACTTCCAGTTTAACACTAGTTTATTCCCCAGAGCCATGAAGTTGGGTTCTTCTTCTTCGTTTGATTTCTTAGCATTCACCGAAGTTGGGTTTTAATCAATGTTATCTCCGTGTTGTTATGACAAATTGGACTCTTTTGGTTCCTTTGCTGTAATAATGTTGAAAACAGAATTTTGTAAAAATATCCCACTATTCCCTTCAGGCATCAATATGTAGTCGTAAAAACAGAGGAATTGTGGTGTAGGCGAACAAACAAAGAACTGGACGATATATGCAATGAGCCAAAAACAATGACAGTAGTTAAAACTCAAAGAATATGTTGTGCCTGTTTTTCCCAAAAACAAATACAGAAGAGAAGAAAAGGCAAGTCACAAAAAGATGGAAAGGTAGTGTTCTTGAAGATCTACAAAAAATGAACGTCCGCGATTGGAAGTAAAATGATATTAGATAGAAGGAAATTGAAGAAAGTGGTAAACAAACGCACGCAAAGACTTCTTCTTCTTCAAGTGACCTGTCCGTTGCGAATGTTGGCTATTAACATGGCAATTCTGATCTAGTTTGCGGCGCTTCTGAATAGTTCGACCGATATGAGCCCGAACCGCAGATTTTGGGGCCAGGCAGGAGAAGTATCTTCTCCTGCCTGGCCCCGCTTACTGTCGATTTCCCCCTGGACAATTAATTGCAGTAGACGTACTTATCTTGTCTCAATATGTGGCCTAGATATTCAAGCTTTCTTTGTTTAATTGTGCTCACGATTTCTTTCTCCTTTCCGATTCTTTGAATTACATCTATGTTGGTGACATGTTCGGTCCAGGATATACGAAGAATGCGTCGGTACACCCACATTTCGAATGTTTCTAGTTTTCTCGTGAGTGTATCTGTCAGCGTCCAGGCCTCCACACCATATAGTAAGATCGAAAAAATGTAACATTTAACTAGACGTAGAAGAGACAAATCCTTGCTTATGAGGAGCTTTTTCATATTGTTAAATGCTGCTCTAGCTCGTTTTATTCTCGCCTTAATTTCTGTGGAATGTTCTCATTTTACATTTATGTTGGTGCCAAGGTACACATAAGATTCTACATGGTCAATTAGTATGTTACTTATCCGTAATTGTCGAGCAGGTTGTTGCTTTTTGCTTATCAGCATCCACTTTGTATTCTTGAAGTTGAGGCTCAGGCCGTATTCCTCACTAACTGAATAAACTCTTTCCATTACCTGTTGTAATTCATCTGTGGTACTGGCGAGGATCACCGTGTCGTCGGCATATCTTATATTGTTCGTTAACTCGCCGTTTATTTTTATGCCCTCATTTGCATTTTCCATACATTTGTTAAATATTTCATCGGAATAAATATTGAATAGGAGTGGGGACACACCCCTGACGGACACCTGTTATGATTTGCACACTTCCAGTGAGTTTGTTGCCAATTTTTGCTCTTGCTGTTTGACCTCAGTATAGGTTTTCCACAAATCAAATGTCCTTGTCGTCGATACATGTCTTTCGCAGAATATCTATCAATTGTTCATGATTGACATTGTCAAATGCTTTTCTAAAATCCACAAAGCACAAATACACGTCCTTATCAACGTCTTTATACCGCTGTATAAGCACTTGGAAACCGAAAACTGCTTCTCTAGTTCCAAGTGCTTTCCGAAAACCAAACTGCGATCTATATGCGCAAAGACTATAAAAATTAATCAAACGTATAAAATAACAATATATAAAATAACATTATGGTAGTGTAATTTTTTAAGCTCAATAAACATAAGCCAAACTGCACATTTACGTTAACCGTTTTGTCTTATAGATACTAGCAGTTGGCAAAAAAAATTACCTTTGTATCAGTGTGTTACCGGGCATATTTCTGCCATCTGCGTCATTGTGTTTTTACTTATTTTCTGGTCCCTTTAAATAACCAACCAAACACTAACAGTTATAACCCGAATTTAACGAATTGTGTTTTGAAGTTTATCTGAAAAATTTTTTAGTTTAGTTACCCTGGCTTTGGAAGCACTAATTTTGACTTTATTCTATAGGTAGTAGTAAATGCATTGGTTCAAGCTATACCATCCATCTTCAATGTACTGCTAGTGTGCTTAATATTTTGGTTGATATTTGCTATCATGGGTGTGCAGTTATTTGCCGGTAAATACTATAAGGTAATCTTCATCCATTAGCTATTCCAGAACTGGTCTAAATAACTTTCATTTTTAGTGTGTGGATAGTAATAAGACAACGTTAAGTTATGAAATAATCCCTGATGTGAATGCTTGTAAAGCAGAAAATTACACTTGGGATAACTCGCCAATGAATTTCGACCACGTCGGCAAAGCATATCTATGTTTATTCCAAGTAGCTACATTTAAAGGCTGGATCCAGATCATGAACGACGCCATCGACTCCAGGGAGGTGAGCAAATATTTAGTTTAATATAAAATACACCATTTATACCAATTTAAGTGAGCAATTGAGAGTCAATATTGTCAATATATTGCACAAACATTATGCATAATAATTTTGCTACCAAATGTACGTACACAGTAGAATATTACTGTGTAATACGTTTTTTGCATTAAACATGTGGAATAAGATGAAAGTGAGTCATTAATCATTGTGCTACTAAAGTAATAAATAAGAAAAACAGGATTTCTGGTTGACAAAAGACAGGTTCTAAGAAATAAAGAATACAGTCATAAAAAATTGTAGTAAAATAAATATAAATGTATTAGAATTTTTTCAAAATGCTCTGTGACTATTAAGTATATTATGTGATGAACTGCTAAGAACAGAACACACTTGAAATTAAATTAGACGGATTTTGCAATCCTAAATTTTTTCTAAGTCAACTATTTTTAATAAAATTATTTTATCTAGTCACCAGAAATACTCTACTAAAAAACGTCAAGATTTCTCTTGACGTTTTTTTAAAAAATATGTAAATAAAAACTGTACACTATTTTTTTCTATTCTTTAATTTATGTAATTAGGGCTTTAATAGTTTGTTCCAGGACCTTTAAGCTAGCAGGGAAAAATGAGCGGAATCCAATTTAACCTACGTAATATTTTTTCATCCATTTTTCACTAATTTATTACCACCCTAATTTTTCACCACCAAACCAGCCTTAAGGGGAGCAATTCTTCTGGCTTAAGGTTCAAGCTAGCAGAATTCGAAAAAAGCTTTTTGTATTGACATATTTTTTCATCCATTTTTCACTAATTTATTACCACCCTAATTTTTCACCACCAAACCAGCCTTAAGGGGAGCAATTCTTCTGGCTTAAGGTTCAAGCTAGCAGAATTCGAAAAAAGCTTTTTGTATTGACATATTTTTTCATCCATTTTTCACTAATTTATTACCACCGTAATCATTTTTCACCACCAAACCAGCCTTAAGGGGAGCGATTCTGCTGGCTTAGGGTTCAAGCTAGCAGAATTCGAAAAAAACTTTTTGTATTGGCATATTTTTTCACCCATTTTTCACTAATTTATTACCACCCTAATCATTTTTCACCACCAAACCAGCCTTAAGTGGAGCGATTCTGCTGGCTTAAGGTTCAAGCTAGCACAATTCGAAAAAAACACTTTTTGTCTATGGCATATCTTGTCACCCATTTTTCACTAATTTATTATCACCCTAAAAATTTGTCACCACCAAACCACCCTTAAGGGGAGCGATTCTGCTTGCTTACGGTTAAAACTAGCAGAATTTAAAAAAATATATTTATGATATACCACAGTGTGCTGCTAGGTTTTTACAAATTTATTATCACCTTTGTAATTTTTTACCCCTCAACTACCCCTTATGGAAAGGAAATATATTGTTAGATTAAAATTTAAGTTGAAAAATTCTTTTTTTTTCAATTTCACTGTCCTCTACTTATAACTGAAAAAATTCTCTAAAAATACCATAAAATTCGAAAAATAGATTTTTATCACCTTAAATATTAACCCAACAGAATGCTTGACTTCTTGACTAGTTGGGTAAATAATTACTAGTATGGTAATAAACTTGTAAAAATCTAGGAGAGCACTGTGGTATTTCATAAATATATTATTTATACAATTCTACTAGCTTTAACCGTACGCCAGAAAAATCGCGCCCCTAAAGTGTGGTTTGGTGGTAAAAAATTGTTAGAGTAGTAATATATTAGTAAAAAATTGGTGAAAAAATATGCCATTGTAAAAAGTTTATTTTCTGAATTCTGCTTGCTTGAACCTTAAGCCAGCAGAATCTCTTCCATTAAGGGTGGTGTGGTGGTGAAAAATTATTAACGTGGTAATAAATTAGTGAAATATGGATGAAAAAATATTACTTAAATTGGACTCCGCTCATTTGTCCCCGCTAGCTGAAGAGTCTTGTTTGTTGCTTCACAAACTTATTATCAAAATACTTAAAGTCTTATTTAGCTTTTGACAGTGGCTGCTGTCATGTCATTATTAATGTTTATTACTGCCATACGAGACGTTCTTTTAATATACTGAAAGCTTTATTTAGCTTAATTAGTCTGAAAGCTTTAAATGTTGTTTCTTTTTGCAGGTAATGTAATTTTAATTTAATATTGTAAAATTAATAATAAATTTGTTCTTTTTGCAGAGAAACGCAATTGAGTTTTATAAATGAAACTTTGCTGATTGAAGAAACAAACATTATTACAAATATAATTTTTAAATAAATTTTCTTTTCCCTTTGGTACCAATATTTTTATTTCCATTATATATCTGTGAAACTAAAATTGGATTCAAACTAAACAATAAACTAATGATTATTATACAAATATTGATAATATTGACCTTCTATGGATCTCTTTATTCTTGTGATGGGAGTCAAGCAACAATTTGATATTCTTTGATTTGTTTCAGATGAACAAACAACCTATCAGAGAAACCAATATCTACATGTACCTCTACTTTGTATTCTTTATTATATTTGGATCGTTTTTCACCCTCAATCTGTTCATTGGTGTGATCATTGATAATTTCAATGAACAGAAAAAGAAGATAAGTATTCAGTAAAATAGTTATTCGATTTTATAAGTATAAGTCTACTTTAAGATGAATTTCATTGTGGGTAAATTGACAGAGTAAAGTGTGTTAGTGAGAAACGCACATATCCCAATGTTTTCTTTAATTTCCATCGTTAGTCTATCACATTTTTTACTTTTAATATTCTAAATTTGTTAGAAACTCTTTTCCTTTCATGTAGGCACTGATTTTCTTTAAAACAGATTAGAATTAATCGCTGTTTATACTGTTTTGTTTTTGCAGATCTTATTATGTGATTATCTCACATTTTTTTGCATAAATCGCTCCAAAATATCAATGCAAATAATAATTTCATTATGCGTTAGTTGTAAAATGTAGGTTTAATATTTTATTTAAAAAAATATAAAATATATTCAAAAAATTTGATAATTTTCGTCTTTTTTCGCATATATCTGAAGAACTGTTGCTTTTAGAATAATTTTGTATAAACATAAAAGTTTTGTAATCAAGATTCACATAAGATTATACTAGTTCCAAATCTTAAAAGTTATTACTATTATTGAAAGAATACAAGAGTTTTTGGAGGAATTTTTACACGTTTACCCAACATTTTAAACGCATCTACTTGCACGTGCAGAGTAGGCTGTACGGGGAAGACGTTTTAAAACCCATAGATTGGGGGTGGGAAATTAAACAATTTGCTACACCGCATAAAATTGACTCAACCGTCTGGTCCTCCAAATTTAATAAACCTAATTTTTTGCAGTTGCAAAAATATAAAAATTGTGCAGGGTGTAATTGCACCAATTCCTATAGAAACTTATTCTGAATTAAAGGTCAGTGAAGAAGAAAATAAAGACTTAAATAATACATAACTGTTTGCTGTTTGATCATCATTCAGTCCATACTCGTCCACTGCTGAACATAGGCCTCCCGTAGTTCACCCCACAAATTTCTGTCCTGAGCCGCCTGCATCCAATTTTGATGTGTCCGTTTCAGGTCATCCGTTCATCTTGTTGGTGGTCGTCCTCTATTCCTAAAGGCATCTTGTCTGCGTCTCCACTCAAGAATGCGTTTTGTCCATCTGCCGTTCTTCGTTCTCGCGACGTTCCCTGCCCAGTTCCATTTTAAGGTTGATATTCTTTTGATTGCGTCGGTTACTCCCGATCTACGGCGCAATTCTGTGTTGGGTATTCGGTCTCTCAGGGTTAATCCCAACATGGACCGTTCCATTGCCCTCCGTGTTGTTCGAATTTTGTTTGCGGACGTCTTAGTAAGTGTTAGCGTCTCCGCACCATAGGTTAGAACCGGCAGCACACATTGATCGAAGACTTTTCTCTTCAAGCAGATGGGAAGAGCTGATTGGAAAACATGTCTTAGCTTTCCATAAGCTGCCCATGTCAACCCTATTCTACGTATTAGTTCATTGGTCTGGTTATCTCTACTTAAGCGAATTTCGTGTCCCAGATATTTGTATGCTGATGTTTGTTCTATACTTGTTCCAGCTATGTTGATGTTCTCACTCAGAACAAGGTTTGTCATCACTTGTGTTTTTGAGTTATTAATCTTTAAACCCACTTGTGTAGAGGCATGGTAGAGTCTTTCGCACATTTCGATGGCATGATCTATGCGGTCTGTTATCAGGAGTATATCGTCCGCGAACCTGAGGTGACTAAGCTGCTCTCCATTTATGTTTATGCCCTTTTCGTCTAGGTTTGCACGCTTACACATGTATTCCAATAATGTTGTAAACAGTACCTGTTGTTGTTTGATACCTTGCTGAAATTAGTGTTCAGCAGCCTCAAAAAACCCCCCGAGAAACGAGTTTCGAATGATTTTCTACGGAATCTGTATAAACTCCCAGAGATGAGATATGTGCTGTCCATCCTCGGCACAAGGTACATGGTAGACCTTCTCCGAAATGATATTTGTATTCAGCGACCCCTAAAATCTCCAAGTAGCGAAATTGGGCGTATTTTATACAATATTTGCTAAGTTAATTTTTTTTTAATTTGTAACTCTGGAAAATGCGTTTTTCAACTGCAATTTTTTTTTTCATGATTGCATTAGTTTACAAAATTTCCTGACGCTATCACGAAATGAATGCACCAAACTTCATCTCAATCATGAATCAATTTTTGTGTTTCATTGCCTGGACTATGGTGGAGAAACAGAATAGATGAAATGTATAGTATGGGAATTTTTCTTTAAATTTCGTCCCGTGATATGGTCGACATTATTATCATACCTCGTATGGGATAAAAGTACAGTTTTCATGAGAGACAAAAAACTTGCTCAATATGCTGTCACCTACTTATATTAAAATGTGTCTACTAGTTTATCAGTATAGATATAGCAGAACGACTACTGCGTACAAATTGTTTATTTTAATGGACAAATTCCAGAATAAGACAGAAAAGTTAAATATATGAGGTTTGGTTTTTACGAATTACTTATCCATATAACAAATAATACTATTAGTTTTTCATTTTATTTTTAAACTGAAACAAAAATACATTTAACAAGAAATGAAATACTTAATAGTACTTTAAATCTTTATAGAAATCATGATAATCGACTTTTATGACTTTGGTCAGTTCCTGCAGGTGGTTATACTTGTCTTTAGGGATACCAGGAGTTGTAGAGTATAAACGATCGGGTTTTTTCCGTGAAAAATTGTCCACGGTATTCCATTGTATTTTAAGGCTCTCAGATCAGGTCAATAGGATTATCTACTTTTTTTTCTGGGCGAATGGAATTAAAATATATCATGGTTTACATAAATGACATTATAACACATAGGATTTTTTCGTGCCGTTTCTATAATACTTACGTATTTAGCTGAAACGCTTATAACTCTAGTTCTGATTTTTCTCTCAATCACACTGTGAACTGAGTCGAAAATCATTTGTGTATAGCCTTTTTCTAAAAATTTTTTAATAATACACACATTTTTAAAACCGAACACTGTAGTAATGCGTTTGCGAGAATAGACTTCCTGCTTTGATATGTATAGCTATCACTCCACAAAACTATCTCCTTTGGTTCCTTCTTGCAATTTTTTCAAATGTAGTCTAAAATAGATGTTGCGAATTCACTTTAACGTTTCCTTCAGCCTCATGCCACACGTAACATTTTACCTCATAAGTAACATTATTAAAGATAGTAAAGTTATGGACAAATAATTTTTCCTTATAGTAAATAGCCGATGCTTTTAATAGAGGGTATAGGAGAACAGCTTGTAGGTCCATCATGACTACCAGTATACTTCTGTCTAATTGTGCTCTCTCTGTATCTCTCTGCATTTGACTTCTTGCTTGCTGTTTCTTCTTTTCGTGTTCTAACCATTTTTCTTCACATAGATTCTTGATATCGTGCATACAATAAATATCACACTGATCCCTTTTGGGTTGAAACAAACCAATATTCATTCGTTCAAATACGTGTTTAAACTGGCTTATAGATAATGAAATGGCCTTGGATTCTCTACATTTTTCTACATAGAGATCATATACCTCTTTCTTCGATTTAAAAATTGATTCCAAGTACATTTTACTAGATTGCGATGTGCAATAATGTGAAGGCATATTCGGCAACTGCTGTAAAAATATTTATTTTGCTCAGGTTTTAGTGGTGTTTTTTTTATTGTTCTCTTAAATATTTGTTTGTTAAAACTTTTTAGAGCCCAGTCTCTCGTAGTCCAATCACTAATTCCTAATGTATGCAGAAACATAAGTTTATATATACATAATCTTCTCTTATTTGTTTTTAAGTAATATTTTAAACTAAAGGACTTTTTGTAAGATGCAGTGTCTATATTCATTCTAGTACTTGGTGCAACTATATCTATTAATCCTTAAATAAAAACTTTTCTTTGATTCCAATCTAAACCTTGCCAAAAATAATTGAATATTTCTAAACGAAGTTCTTGAGTAAAATTATTACAATGTCTATTTTTTATCTTAATGGAAGACTGGAAGACTTTAAGACTGGAACAATTTTTCCTTCACTTACTTTTCGACCTTGACATTCTTCTCCTCTCTGTCGTTTATAAATATTGATATTTTTTGCCACAATGATGGATTGCCTTTTCCTTTTAATGCGCGTTTGCGTTTTCCTATAGGTTCATTGGATTCAGATATATTATTTATAAGAGTATTTTCTATTTCTTCACAATCAGTAGTAATTTCATCCGTAGGTTCTTTATTTTAACTACAACTATCGCTATTTGTCGGAAGTTCGTACGGTTTATCTACCGCATCATTAACATCAATTTTAGACGTTACAGGTTTGTCGCTGTCAACAGTTTTAAGGTTTCTATATTGATTTGTCAAACATTCATTGCTTATTCCAGATGGTCCAGATGGTATGTCATGTGCTTTATCACATTCCATGCAGAGTTGCATCCATGAATGGAACAGTAATGATGCCTAGTTTCTCAGCAATATCCAGAAATATCCAATAGAAAATTACCAGAATTCGAAAAAATGGATCCATTTATATAGCATTGGACCAAGATTTTGCCCCTATTATCTTATATTAATCCACTGAAAAATTAAAAGAAGCTTTAAGTTTCTCCATTACATACATACTTAACGTAAATACTAGTATGCAATAAGTAGTCATAGGAATAATAACTAAATATCTTTGTTGTATGTTTTTTAGCAACAAAACAATTCCGTTTCTATGCCACACACTAAGCAAAGAAAATAATACAAAACTCGAAAGCTCACCTGTTGTTAGAGTAGATTCTTCATCGAAATGAATACCATTAGTATTATTATTTATTATAGGTTTATTGAGAACAAGTTCCAATATTTTCTTGCTTCGGCATTAGTCATTAGTTTATTTCTTTGGATGTAAGTATTCATTGTTGCTATAGCTAACCAAAACTTTTCTGTGGTATACGAGGTTAGGAATGTTGTTGCTAACAACCAAGTCTGTGTATGGCACGTACCCTAACGTAAGTGGTCTGGACTATTAAATTCTCTCTCTTCAATCCTGACCCCCCAGGGGGAGTGTAGTGGTCGACGTGATGTCGTGTATTGTCCGTCTCCAGAGATCTCTGTCTCTGGTCATTTCTTTTAATTCATGCATAGGTCTTTGGCATATTCCTGTAATTTGATCTATCCATCTTGTTGGGGATCTTCCTCGTGATATTCGGCCTTCTACCTTTCCTTGTATTATGAGTCTTTCCATGTTTTCTGTGTTTGCTCTCATAACATGCCCAAAATATTTTAATTGTTGGAGATGGACTTTACTAGAGAGTCGTTGGCTAACTTTTAGCTCTCTTAAATTTGAATTATTTGTTCTACGGTCGGTCCAAGGAATTCGTAACATTCGTCTCCAACAGAACATTTCAGTGGCGTCTATCTTTCTTCTCTCCGATTGTCTCAGAGTCCAAGATTCACATCCGTAGGTCAGTATTGGGAATATTAAGCAGTTGATCAATCTCATCTTTATCGCTCTTGAACTTTGACAGTCCTTCCATATTTTGGTCATTTTTGCTGTGGCAACTTTTGCTAGATCACATCTACGTTTAATCTCGTCTTGTAATGACCCTGTGTTTGTGATTAATGATCCCAGATATAAGTATGAGCTCACAACCTCGAACCGGTCAATTGTGGTTATGTGTGGATGATTGTTGTGTAGTCTATCCACTATCATGATCTTTGTCTTTGATATGTTTAATTGCAGACCAAATATTTGACTTTCGTTTTCGATCAGTCGTATAAGTTCCATCAGCTCTTCTTGACTATTTGCAAGAAGGGCTGTGTCATCTGCGAAACGTAGGTTGTTTAGTTTATGACCATTTATTGAGATGCCCTTTTCCCATCCTTCAAGTGCTCTTCGCATAATATACTCCCCATATATGTTGAATAATTGTGGAGATAGTATACATCCTTGTCTGACACCCCGTTCTGGATGAAACTCGTTCGAAAGTGTGTCAAGTACTTTAACTGATTCAGTAGTGTGTTCATATAGTTCAGTTATAAGCGTAATTAGATGTTGTGGTACGCCTACTTCTTTTAGTATTCGCCATAAGTGTCTCCACTTGACCCTGTCGAACGCTTATAGCCCTATATGCTCTATAAAACAGATGTATAGTGGGATGTTGAATTCCCTAGATTTCTCGATTATCTGTCTTATATTCAGTAGGTGTTCTCGAGTGCCTCTACCTTTGGTAAATCCAGTTTGCTCTTGTGGAATTTCTCTTTGAAGGAATGTTTTCAGTTTCTCATTGATTATATGTAGCATTATCTTGCTGGCATGGGATATAAGAGAGATCTATAATTGTCGCATTTATGGAAGCTGCCTTTTTTATGTATGGTCGTTATTGTAGATTTTGGCCATCCAGTCTTCAGGCCATTGTTTGGAATGCCATATTTGGTTACAGAGTAGATGAAGTACCTTTACGCCGGTTGTTTCTGTGGCTTTAAGCATTTCTGCTGTTATCATATCTGAACCTGGTGCTTTGTTATATTTGAGCTTGTTGATAGCCTGTCTTACTTCATTTTCGAGTATATCAGGTTCTTCTTCCACCTCGTCAGAGATTTGGCTAACAAGCTCTTGGCGTTGATCATCTTTATATAGGTCCCTGCAATACGATCTCCATGTCTCTGCTATGTCTTCTCTGTTTGTTCTCAGGGTTCCAGTGTTATCTTCAATGGCCCAAGTTCTGGCTCTGAAGTCTCTTGTCAGGTAGCGTATTTTTCTAAATAGATCTCTCGGCTGATTATTCTGGCCATGTCTCTCAATTTCTTTGCATATACTTTGATAGTACTGTTTTTTGACGGCCTTACATCTTCGTTTTATTTCTTTATTGAGGTTTCTTAAACTAGCTTTTTCCCTTTCACTATGTATACCACTTTTACAAAGATTTCTTCTATTCTCAATTATTTTAAGAGTTTCATCTGTTATCCAGTGTTTCCGTTTCACCGGATTATTTTTCTTTGAGCGATCCACTGGTGTTGTTACGCAATGTTTAACAGTCTCACTTATTTCTTGTGATGTTCTGTTACGAATAGAGGGCATACTTTTCTGTACTTTCTGTAGAAGGTCGTCTTTCTTATTAAATTAGGCCTAAAGCCTTAAACTATTAAATTAGGACAATATTATTTACGGGGTATGGTTCCGTTTTTCAGGGTCAACTTGGATTTTGATGTCTACGAGAATTGGTCATTATATAAAACGGTATAAGAGCTTCGCTTTGGTAATAAAATCTTAATTTCGTAAAAAATCGACTTACGAGGTATGAGAATAATGTAAAACAGAGTACGCAAAACTCAAAAATAATGTTCTAAGTATAAGATTAGTTTCATTAATATAAATCAAAATCATTTAAGTAATTTATACGCAGGAGGATCGTTGGAGATGTTCATGACTGAGGATCAGAAGAAATACTACAACGCAATGAAGAAGATGGGATCCAAGAAACCAATGAAAGCGATTCCCAGACCGAGGGTAAGTGGTCCATTTATTTTTAATTGTTTTATAATTTACTCTTCGATCAAAGAAACTGTGTAAGCGTAACATATAATATTACGTTTATCTTGTTTATAGCGTTTTCTTGTAAAATTTGAAGGTGACAACCTCTCATAAAATGTATGTATGTACAGCGTTAACAGGCCCTTCAGGCCCATTGCTGGATGGATAATTTCCATCGTGTTCTGTTCTTAGCTATCAGCTTTCAATCTCTGATTCCCATCTCTCTTATATCTTCCTATACTACCTCTCTATATTGCTTTATCTCTCTATATCCCTTGCCTCTCTTTTTTTAGCCCTCAGGTACTCTCCAAGCAATGGTCTTCACTAGTCTATTACCTTGCATTCTTTCTAGATGACCGAGCCATTTTAGTTTACGTTTTTTCACCACTTTTGTTATTGTAGGGTTAGCATACAAATGGTACACTTCTACATTAGTTCGTCTTCTCCATACTCCCTCTACTACTTTTCCACCAAACATTCTGCTAAGTATCTTTCTTTCCCATGCATCCAATGTTTTCTGTATGGTTTTGTTCATAGTCCATGTCTCGGCAGCATATAGCATTGTGGGTCTAATTATAGTTTTATATACTCTTATTTTTGTATTACGAGATATATCTTTGGCCTTAATTATTTTGCTCATGGCTCCAGCACACCTGTTGCTCTTGGTCAGTCTCAGGTTGATTTCAGTTGCTTCCTTACATGTCTGATCAATAAGAGACATTCTTTCCACCTTTCACATATTTGATCTTCGTCCACTATCAGGTTTCCTTGCTTATCTTTTACATTCATCGTTCTTCCCTGATACCCAGCTGTAATGTATTTCACCTCTTTGTAAATTTTTTTTAGTTCATTGTTCTTGCAACTTTTTTCAATGCGCTTTATTTTATTATCCATATACTTTCGTTTCTGCTGCCTTGGGATTGTCTTTACTTTTTTTCGTTGTTCGGCAAACCTTTCTACGTTATCTTGTTTTTGCGATCGTAAAGTTTTTAATCTCAAATCTGATCTTTTTTTAACTCTATTCTACATTCGTCATCGAACCAGTGTTTTTTTCTAAATTATTTTGTTCTTGGTATGTTCTTTGACGTTGCTTCCTTTATAGTGTTTGTCATTTTCAAGAACTTTTGTTGTATGTTACTCACAGTAGTACTATCGTGTTTGGCGTAGGTTTCTTGTATATCCTTTTGATAATCCTGCGCGACCTCATTTTCCGCAGTTTTTCAAAATTAAATTTACGTTGCACTTTCTTTTTCCATTTATACTTTTTAATTATTGCTTCTCTCATATTAATTTTAACCAAAAAATGATCTGACTCTATGTCAACCCCTCTGCACGTTTTCACATTTGTGATTATTAAATTGGCGAACTTCTCTTGTATTAAGATGTGGTCTATTTGGTTAGTTTCATTTGATCCCGGAATTTTCCACGTTCCTTTATATATTATTTTTCTCCTGAAATGCGTACACATTATTTTCATCCTGTTTTCAATTACGAATATAATCAATCATTGGCCATTATCATTTGTATTCAGATATTTACTTTCACGCTATAATAATTTTAATAACTTGTCTGGGCATTTCTTCCAACAATGACTCTAATTTTTCATAAAATTCATCTTTCACTTCTCATCTCAATCATCTTTAATTCTTATAAAATAATGAGTTTATATTTTGCCATTCTAATTTACTACCTACATATTCTGTTAGCTTCCGCTCTGTGTTTTATTTTCGCTTTATAGTTTGAACTAATTAAAATAATTATCTTAAAGTTTAATTGCTAAGACACTTCGACGTTTAACGGTAAAAAAAATTTGTGTATCATAATTAATTCTTTAGTCTTTTTCTTTAGAGTTTCTGGTGGTCAAGACCTGTGCAGCTGCGTTTCAAAGATCAAAGGTCCTCTAGGGCCTGTAGGGTGTTATAGGGCTACATTATGATTATAAAGGAGATACATATGTACTAATATATTTATTTTGTTTAATATGATCACTTTGTTTTAATTGTATCTAATTGATTTTGTATGTTTCAGTGGAGACCTCAGGCTATAGTCTTCGAAATAGTAACGAATAAGAAGTTCGACATGATCATCATGTTGTTTATAGGTTTAAACATGCTGACGATGACAATGGACCATTACAAGCAGAAAGAGACTTTTACAAAAGTTCTGGACTACCTAAATATGATTTTCATAGTTATATTTAGTACCGAGTGCCTCATGAAAGTGTTTGCTTTGCGTTATCACTATTTTACGGAACCTTGGAATCTTTTTGATTTAGTGGTTGTTATATTATCAATTTTGGGACTGGTGCTCAGTGATATCATTGAAAAATACTTTGTGTCACCGACTCTACTGAGAGTCGTTAGAGTTGCAAAAGTCGGTAGAGTCCTTCGGTTGGTGAAGGGAGCAAAAGGAATTCGCACACTGCTTTTCGCACTTGCCATGTCACTGCCTGCCCTGTTCAACATCTGCTTACTACTATTTTTGGTCATGTTCATCTTTGCTATCTTCGGAATGTCGTTCTTCATGCACGTCAAGAACAAAAGCGGACTCGATGACGTCTATAACTTCAAAACCTTTGGACAGTCAATGATTCTTCTATTTCAGGTAAGATTTCACAAAAATAATTATTCCGTTTAGTTAGATATTGCCATTTAAAGTATAAGTTACTGAAAGTGGTAAGGGTCTCACTGGGCCAGAGAAATTAAGAATGCTTAGAAACATATCAATTATTGAATACATGGCATTGGCAGATAGCCATGTGAAAGTGAAGGATGTATGCAATTGCTTATAAAGTATTTAGATCCGCTATCATTTAAGAATGTTTAACAACATAAACTTGTTGCGTTCGTTTTTAAAATGTAAAATGACAATTCAAAACAAAATCTGGAATTCATAGTGGCTGGTAGAGGTTGTGATGTCCTCTCGTAGAAGTCACTATCCGGGTAGCTTTTGGACAGTCAGAGACAGAGTTCAAAATAAAAATAAAACTTAATTGTCTTCCTTAAATTAAATTGACAAAAATCTTATGTTCATATTTACAATTTGGTTTAGTCTTCTCAGTACCTGGCCTATTTATTCAAATTAAGTTTGACCTTGTCATATGAAATTAGTCTTATCGGCAAGCGAGAACGTTGTATCGATTTAATAACAGCGGACGATAGGTACAAAGAAAGGAAAGGAACTCAACACGTTCCTTAAGTGATTCGGGTTAATAGGACACTCCCCGACAGTCTCAACACGACTGCTTCAGAGTACGGGTAATGAAGAGCTCAACACGCTCTTCGGGTACGGCGGTATGGAACGGAACAACTTGTGAACTCAACACGTCCACAAGCCGGGGTAGGGAAGAAGAGAACCTTCAGTCAACACCTGTCGATTCTCCTCTATGAGGAAATGTTGCGGTTTATATAGCGGAGCTTGGTAATTAGTTTTGCCCTTTCTACTGTCGATACACTCCTACTTCATGGGTTGGTTCGCGCGCACGCTGGTTTAACGGTGATGGCTTGGACTCATCGTTACAAGGTAATGAATTTTCTAAAGAGCTATGGAGTTGTAAATTGTTCGGTTAATTTGCATACATCATCCAATTTAAAGCAGCAACTTCATTTATTACCAATGTCCATATTTTTTCAATAAGATTTAGCTCCGGATGATAAGGTGGTAGACGCAACCCTAATATATCATGTTCCGCTGTAATTTTATCAATTATTCGTCGTAATGGTCTTTGGTTTTTGTCCCCTATTTAAAAATAATAAGTGTCCCAGACACGAATACTGCTTCACATCCAGCATGAACAATAATATGCGTTTGACCTTTAGCTACAGGTGATTTTAAACATTTATTTTGATCATCGTCAAAACATCACAAGCTTTGGTCACTTTTTCCTGTAAATTGCTCATGGGGTAGTTAAATATTCTTGTTCCTTTTCTTTTTTTATAAACTGATAATAGACACTGTATATAATTTGCCGACCTTAGCTATGAATAACGTTTATGTAACTATTATTTCCTTGTCTTTGCTATAAGACATATGCTATATAACAGAAATTTAAAAAATTTAAAAAAAAAGACTTTTAAAATCAACATTTTTATTATTAAAGTAAAATACTACAAATCAAATTATAATTGATTAAAAATATAATAAAATAAATACATACCTTAATATTTCTCTGCGCAAAATATTTTCAAAAATTATTTTATAAAAGTCTTTAAATTAAGAATTAAAACTCAAAATTATAATAATTAGGTAATTAAAAAAGAAACAAATTTTACTGCACCATTAAAAGATTTGGAGTAGAAACAACCTAAACAAAGAATGAAATTTAACGGCTGAAACTTTTAGGATGATTTTAGAACTTATTTCAAAAGTACGCTTGTATTCTGCGTCGATATGACTTAAATATAGCTCTTTAGAAAATCCGTTACCTTGATTTTTCTAAAATAATTCGGGTAACGACTCTTCAATTTTCGATAAAGGGCTTTTCTCAAAAAATGTATTTAGCAAGGAATAGTTTTCTTCGTCTAAGGCATCTTAAAATAAAAAAATAATTTTTATGACAATCAATTCGTTCTAAAATCGTGATTATTTTTTAATAAAAACAGCACGCCTTTGATTCGTCGATTTCCTTTCTCCCCAAATCCGCAAAGGTCTACATTAAAAAAATTAGTCACTTTCTACAATATTGGCACTGTGCTATACAAATAGAAAAAACATTGTTTTATTCCAAAAATAGTAGTGATAATTTTGTTTTTTATTATTTTTAGATGTCCACTTCAGCCGGTTGGGATGGCGTCTTAGATGGAATCATAAATGAGGAAGACTGTAAGCAACCAGACAACGAAATAGGAGAAACGGGTAATTGTGGTAATTCCACGATAGGTATAGCTTTCTTATTAAGCTATCTCGTTATATCATTCCTCATAGTCATAAATATGTACATCGCTGTCATTTTGGAGAACTATTCACAAGCTACTGAAGATGTGCAAGAAGGTCTAACAGACGATGACTACGATATGTACTACGAAATTTGGCAGCAGTTCGATCCAGACGGAACACAGTACATACGGTATGATCAACTATCCGACTTTTTAGATGTATTGGAATCTCCACTACAAATACATAAACCGAATAAATACAAAATAGTTTCTATGGACATTCCAATCTGCAAGGGTGATCTCATGTTTTGTGTAGATATCTTAGATGCTCTTACTAAAGACTTTTTTGCTCGAAAAGGAAACGCTATCGAGGAAACTGCTGAATTGGCCGAAGTGCAAGGTCGACCAAATGAGGTAGGCTACGAACCAGTTAGTTCGACCCTTTGGCGGCAAAGGGAAGAATATTGTGCTAGATTAATTCAAAACGCGTGGAGAAAGCACAAAAGGAATCGTGGTGGTGCTACCGATCAGTCCGGTGACGAAGGTGATATAGATGGTGAAGGGGAGCTTGAGGCTCGACAAACAGCAGTCTTGGTGGAAAGAAACGGGCACAAAGTAGTGATACACAGCCGAACACCCAGCATCAGTTCACGAACTGCGGACGTATGAGACTGGCCCCGCCCCTCCCCACCCCTGTCATAGTCGTCAGCGGAATAACACGCTGCATTGAACTATGTTCAGAATCAGAAGGCCTCACAACAAAACACGATATATTTTATCTCGGATCCAAATGTACTTCTTCATCATTAACAGTATCTTCAACATACATCGAATCATATCTTAATTTATACTAAAGTTTGCAGCACCAAAATACGTTTTCCTATTCTAAACTTATTGCTGCGCAAACGTTCAGTTTGTATTAATCTGTCAACTGTCAGTAGATAAACAAACACCATACAAAACTTTGAAACTAAAAATATAGTACTCATTTACAAAAGATTTTCTCAATACACCTCTCAGATGGCTTGCTTGTCTACATTTTAAATTAACTGAGGGCTTACAATTAGTATTTTTGTGCTGTAAACAATAGTTGCATCTCGTTATATCAATTTCTCTTGGGTTTTATACAATTGCTTGATGTATGTACTTACTAAGCCGAGATGAATCTATACGTGCTAAAGTTTGTGCAGTGTAGTTTGATGGAGAGAGTATCGTTTTTTGGGTATACATCAACTGCTCTATTGTTCTGTGCTCTACTGTTCATATTTCTATATTATCTAAAAAAACTATTTTTTTACGAGTAAGCTTTGTGAGTCTACCTTGATAAGGGAGAAAACTTAATAACGATAAATAAAACCCCGAATTTTAACATTTAGATCAATACAATGATGGCAGAAAAATAAAACGATATTTTAGTATTGGGATATGTTGAGTTTTCTTCTTCGATCCAAGACAATCACTTACAGCACAAACTTTGTGTGAAAATAATAATTTTTTCATAGTAAATAGTTCTGATTTATTTATGGCTGTGTGCTATATTTCAAGGCAATAAGGAAAGCTTGTATATCATCTTGTATCTTTGTACATGTAGAAAAAAATAATCAAGCTGTAGACCATTTCGAGTCTTAGAATATGTTTCAAAATATGACTGACTACATAAACTGGATGTTTTATGTATAATGTCTTGTTTCAAGGTCATTTCACTGAAAAGAACATCTTTTCTTAGCTTCTTATCAGTATAATACAATTAATAATTCACGAGTGATATTTCTGACAAATACTTAAAATATTAGTAATACAAGGTATTCAGTCACCGTTAGTAATACAATGCAGATTTTAAATAAATAATAAATAGAAAATTTTGTTGTAGTAAATTGAAAAGACCAAAAATCTGCATTTATTCTATGTACTGACCATCTAGAATATCCTGTTGACCTCCTTATGTAACATAGTTTATATAAATTTTGTAGGAGAAATTGATACTTTTCACCTCTGTAAAGATCGTTTGCATGATAAACAAGCTTATGTCAATTTATATCAATAGTTTTATGATCAGTAAGAGATGTGACTATTTAGATTGTCAAATTATACCTAGCTAAACAATATTTACTGATGAATTGGTGTCCCAGCACTAATTTCTTGTAAAAATTTAGTTAGTGATAAGTGGCAAGCGAAACCACAGGAAAGCAGTTGAGTTAGTTAATATTTTCCTGTTTATCCTAATACCACTAATGACGGATGCTGATGTCTTTAAAACCACCTATTTGTGTGGAAAGAGTATCATCATTGGTCTTAGTGGGAACAAATTTCAGTAATGTAAAATTATAAAATTTAAAAAACATCGCGTCACTGTTACTCTGTCATGAATAACATTAAAAGCAGGCTAATGCAATGATTGTAGGTTCAAATAAAGATCGACTATATATATATATATATATATATATATATATATATATATATATATATATATATATAAATCTTATATACTAAATAAAAAGTTTCATTCAAACAATAACTTTATGGATCATACACAATTGTTGTTTTAGACCTGACCTAATCACTGAAGTTTAGTTTGTGTTCCTCAATACCTTGAGTAATAGATACTAAACTTATTCGTCGTAATACATACACATTGATCAAATCCTATTTTTAAATATTCATTTTATAAATTTTATAAAAAAAAGTACGTCCAAAGTCTCTTATAATATAATATTATTTTTTTTTAACCATTAGGGTTAAGGTTCAGTCACAAGCGAATGATTTTATTTAGTCATAATTTAATGGTAAAGTTCAGTTATAAGTTCATGATATTGTTTCCACAAATGTTACTTCTAAAGATAGAGCGTTATTACAACAGCGTGTAACATATCCATGGTAATTTTTTATCATAATACGGTGAGCCAAATACCTTACAGAAGTTTCCCATGTCTGTAAAGGTAAAAGTGTCTCGTCACCCTATTGTCTAATTTCGAGATAACCAAATTGAAGAATATATCTTACGGTTTTTTTTAACAAGAAAAGGTTTTTTTACAAAAGTTATTTTTCAACTTCTTTAATTTTTTTAGGAACATAAATGGTACTTGTTCTTTGCTAAACGTATAAAGATATGGAATGGCACTACTTTCAATCAAATCTTACATAGTCAACACCTTCATAAACATATTGCACAATATAATAATTTTAATAGAAGACAGTTCTTGGATAGAATATTACTCACAACTTCTGACTGAAACAAGACCGGAGATTATTCGCATCCCTGCTTCATTTAAGAATCACCGGTATTCAGGGCCATTGTTGATTTTACCTGCCATGATGAGTGATTTTCGTAAAATATCCATAAAGGATCTTTAATGCAGTAGTTGCCTCTTGCATTCTGCATCCTGATACCATTGACTTTATTGGTTCTTCCACCTTTACAGGTGATTTATCCACTCAATGGCAACAGAGTGGTCTTACTTCAGACCACTCATCCATCTCCTCAAGGAATTTGTTAGTAGATTTAAAGGGTCCCATTTACACCGATGGTCATTCGATAATTTCACCATATCTGTCTACCCTCACTTAGTTTATCGTTCAGACCAATGCATTTATCCGGAGTGTGTCACGTAGAGCCATAAGTAAGAATTGGGTGTCTAATGAGGACCAGTTATCAAAAACCATTTCCCGTATATGACGTTTTATGACGTCCATGTCGCCGTTCTGATAAAAGCTACTACTCCTATAACACAAATCTCATTCTCAAAACTCAAAAACAATTGAAAAGGAAATGATAGACGTAGAAAAAAATACCTTTCGTGCAGGCAGATATTGAATAGACAGCATATTTTCTCTAAGGCAGGTTATTGAGAAAAGCTTTGCAAACATATGACGGTAAACATTAGAACTGAAAACAAATTAACTATAAAGAAATTCAAAATATATTTGAATGAGGCGCTCTCAGTGTTACGAAGAAATTGCTGCAATATGGTCTTCCCAATCGAAGACGTGAGAGTACTCAAGATAAACTTCGTTGACGACCAAGCCCTTCTAACTGAAGACCAGAATGATATACACCATATGCTTAGAAAAATGGAAGAGAAGTACACCTACATTTTTGAAATGGGAACTATAAAATCAACTATAACCTTCAAATACTTGGGATTCAAAAAGGGAGACAAAAATAGTTTATATTACATTTTATTTTTTATTTTGCGACCATGATTTCAATAATACTATAAGTGAATATCCTCTGTTTATTGATCTTTGATATTGTTCAACGTTTTGACCAATTTTGGCGAATTGCCATTCTCATTGAACACTTTATTTGTGCTATTTTATAATTTAAATTACATGTTCTATTGAAGTCTAAGCACATGTCTTAAACAAAAAATTGTACAGTAGGTAGGCAAAATAATATTCCTTAAAACAAAAATTCGGATGGATTATTTGGACTTACATCAGATGTTCAGTATTCCAGTGTCGTAGCAAATGTATTAACAACTAATTTATTAAACTCTAATACATTGGAGAAGTCTTTTATTACTACTATCTTGTTAATACAGTTTATATATTTTTTAACGTGAATCATCTCCAATGTATATATTTTGTTACAATTTACCTTTACAAAGAAAGTTCGGCTAAGGTGTTTATGTTTGTTCTGATGTTTTTATGAACAATAACTCTTCTATGTAGATATTCATGCGTCTGACCAATATATCTTGAAATACAATCCTTGCAATTTACTTTATATCTGATTTATTGTCGTTATGGGTACTAGCTTTAAATTTTGGAAAAATATTTATTGGATGTTTTTGATAAATTATGACCCACATTTTATCTAGAAATCAGTTTTGACATATTTTCGGAAAACTATTAATATATGGTCTTCATATGCACTTTTTATGTCTATTATTTGGAATTGTTAGGATTAGGATTTTTGGTAAGAGAAGGATTATTAATAACAAAGCTTATTTTTATAGTTAGAAAACTGTTATACTTTAGTGGGAAATGATTTGGTCTACAATTTTTGTGTCTTTCTCTAAAGAGATAATTTGATTGCTCTGTCTGTTAAACTAAGCACAACAATATTTTATGTTACATAGCTGCATTGGCGTTAAATTTAAATATATTCCAGATCTATTCCAAAATGTTTTAGTTCTTCATTGATTCAATATAAAACTGAGTACTATTCTTGGATTTCTGGAGCAGCTATAGCTTTATCAGTTTCAACAATTACAACAATTACAAATTTAGTAATGAAAGTACTGAAAACATCTGTCTATCTAAATTGAACTACAACTTACAATTCTACAAGCGATATATCAATGATTTCTTACTTTGTATTCCAAATAATAAAGTTGACTATAATCTTCAAATGTTTAATGGCTGTGATAATAAAATTAAATACAGTTATAATCCTAGGTGATTTGAACGCCAAGTTCGGAAAAAAAGCCTATATATTCAGAATCCTTTTGTGTATATAAGAGTGGCACATTTGGTAATGGCAAATAGACTTAAAAAAGTTGGTAAATAGAAAAATTAATTAAAAAATGTGGATAAAAAAACGTGAATGATACGTGGTACTAATGAATTTAATCAAATTGATCATATATTAATATCTATGCGATGGGCAATCTTCGTAATAGATGTTAGATCTTATAGAATCGCAGACTTGGACTATATCTTGG